TAGCGACATGGAGTAGAGAAGATAGATCAATTTGCGGATGGAAACTCGATGACAATCAACCCGCAAAACAATCCATGGAGCAATTATTAGAAAAATCGGAAACTAAATCAAACCAATTCAAACCCTTCGCTTCAATAAATGTTGAAAAATTTTGCAAGGATTTTTGCCCAGATTTAAGTGCAGTTTCGAAGTTGTATGCAGTTTCAAATAATAAACTTGTCGCAATATCGGATACAATTGTTACTACAATAAAATCGAAATATGTACAGCATAAAAGAATTGGTTAGTAACAAATAAATAGTCGATAATATTTGTAATACTTAAAAGTAATTTCTAAAAATTTTTTTTTTTCTTTTTAGAGGTCATTGATCTTATAAAGAATAAGAAAATAGAATTAAGTTTATATCAATACAGAGATTGGTCAATGGAAGAATGTAGATTTTATACTAGTAAGGATAATGATGAATCCTTCTTAATAGTGGCGCACGATTATGAATGTCAATATATTTTTAAGTTTTCATGCGACAAGTCGCAAAGCTGGAAAATAGTTAAATCAATTTCTTGTGGTGCATTTAAAGACATTCAAAAATGTCATATAGACGGAGAAAAGATCATGCTTATTGATAATTGTAGGTCATTAACACAATGGAATTTAAACACATTATTATTCGAAAGACAATATCAATTAACTCACCATGCGCATGAAAGTTTATTCATTTTTAATAAGAATTCTACATTACTTGCAGTATATCAGTATCGCTATCCGGAAGGATTTGTTTATGTTTATTTAACCGAAAATTCACTGCTTTTATCACAATGTAAGTTCTTTAATTCGCGTATACACGTTTGATTTCCATATTTCTATAACTTTAATTATGATTAATAGGTGGACTTAAAAAGGAGTTACAACATTTAGAATTTATTTCATCAGATAAAGAAGAAAGATTGCTTTTATTTTTTGATAATGATAATTTTGAAATAAGGGATCCTTACGATCTTGATCATGTTACTCCTGATGAGTCTGTTTCAAAGCTGCGTGAAGAACTATTTAATACAGAAAATTTGAAGGAAGAAGAAACTTTGAAAGAAGCAACTTCGAAGAAAGAAGAAGAATATACTACAATGATAGATAATAAAATATATTACACATCAGACAGATATTTACGAGTTCAAGAGGTTTCTAGAAAACAATGGATCAAATATTTACGAGAAATATTAAAAGATTATAATAAAACAAGAGTTCTACCTAGCAAACCTCAAATAAAAGAAATTCTAGAAAGATTTATAAAAGGTAATATAACCAATTCACCTTCACATGATGGATCATTAGTAAAGTGGGAGGTAAATAGTGCTGAAAAAGTAATAAATGCATTTTTGAAATCTGGTAATGATTGGAAATTTGTAAATAGAATAAAATTGAAAGATGAGCTTTATGAAAAAAGAGACGAAATATGGGGCGGTATTAAAATAGTTATTTACAGCTGTTATTTATTGTACAATGAAGACTTGGCAATGGTAACATCTGCAGGCTTATTTATATGGTCAATTTGGCCGAAACAAAAAAACGAAAAAAAAGAAGAAATTAGATTACGATACCTCATGAGCGTAAGTCATGAGCATGAATATATGGAGAAATCAGACTTTAAAATTTTATTAGATAAGATAAAAAAGTATGAAAAAAATTCATTGCCAGCACCAGATTTTGAATTCATTATTGATAATAGCGAAGAGCATCACACAGAAGATGAAAAAAATGGGAGATGCCTTTTTGGAGAATTATTAGAAGATTATATTGAAGATAAAATATTAATTAAATTATATGGACAGGAACTTTTAATGTGTTTCTTAAAATCTAAAAATTACATATATTTAGGGAAATTATGCAGTAAAATATATAAAGAAACGGAAAATGGTGATATATTAGTAAAGATTCAGTTATTAGATATTTTTACCTCATTATTTACAGAGTTAACGCAATTCCCTCAATTGTTAAAAGAATTTTTATCATATACTTTATTTATTCATTCAACTGATGTCCCTGAGGAGATTAAATTTAACAAATTCATTTCAGATCCACATCTTCAAAGTCATATAAAATATTTACAACCTTACTTTACTAGCAATGTTGAGGAGAATATTAAACAGATTTTTTATTTTATTAAAAAAAAGATTGAAAAAATTCCTTTCTCTCTTTCTTATAATATAAAAAAAAAACTAGAAAAAACATTTACTAAATATTTTGAACAATTAGAAAAAATATTTTATAAAGATTTTCAAACTATAATTTTAATTTTTCCATTACCAAAGTTTAGCTCTTATGGAAGCGATGATATTTCTTGGAAAGAGTTAATTAGGGAGTTAATTTTGCCTAAACCTAGCACTTTTTCTAAGCATGAATTTCCTGAACTTTATAAATATTGGCAGGGTGAAGCACTTCTTAATTTCAAGTGGAACACCTATGGAAAATATTATTTTTTAGCTATTTTTATTTTTTATTGTATTTTTATGCTCTGTTTCTTGATAGTTGCTTCAATGAAAGAGTTATCTAATAGTACACAAAATTTCCTATTTAATGCAACTATTTTTCTTGGATTTTTGCATCTTATTTTTGAAATTCGACAATTTATTTATTCTCCTCTATTGTGGATTACTGATATTTGGAATTATTTTGGTATTTAATTTTTTAATTATAATTTAAATTATAAAATTGGAAATATTCTTATATAATTACTAACATTTAATATGTTCTTAAGACATAGGTGCAATATTATTTCCTATATTAACTTCTTTTGATTGGTTATATACCTCTGCAACACCTATTTGGGCTATTACACTTTCTATATTATTACTTGAACTTAAATTTATAACATTTTTTCGTGCTATTGAATTTGGTGGCACTTATTGGGCAATGATTATTGGAGTTATACATAATTCTTTATCTTTTTTTGTAATAATAGGCCTTATTATGTTTGCTTTTGCACATTCTTTATTTGTTTTGTTAAGGCCAACAACTGATGCTTCAAATAATTCAGAAGAATTAAGTACAAATATGTTTACAAATTTAGATACAGCATATTTGGCGGTATATATGATGTTAACAGGTACTTTTTTTTTATTATTCTCTTTTAATAATTATTTTACTAATTTTTGATAATATAACTATTTATTATAAACTATTTATAGGCGATTCATCCTATGTGTCTAACTGGTCATTAACTGAAAATCTGACATTAACACTTTTGTTAGTCCTTTTTTCATTCTTTACAACCATTTATTTGATGAACTTGTTTATTGGACTGTTGTCTAATTTTATTAGTGAGGCAAATAAAAAGGAGCTATTTTTACATCAAAGAGCAAAGGTACTTTAGTATTTTTATTAAAATGTTAGCATAATAACTTTATTCTAAAATGATAATAATTCTTATATTCTTTAAATAGATTTTATCAGAAATAGAATTATTTTATATGCTACCGCATCAACGTAGAAAAAATAATTGGTTTCCTGAAGTCATGTAAAGATTAATTTACTATAATTTATTTTAAGTTCTTTGTCCATTAGTTTTACAAAATTTTAACATTTTTTAATATTTAAAGATTTTACAGATTTAGTCTTGATAAATTTTACGATGTGGCCTATAAAGTGAATACTAATAAATGGGACGGTGCTATTGAAATACCTTCTCTTCCTAATATATTATTAAAAGTTATAAATTTAAATAAAGATGAAGATGAATTATCTCAAAAAATAGAAAGCATTATTAAAAAAGAGATGGATCTAAGATTTAAAGAAATAAAAGAAGATATTTCAAAGATTAGATAATGAATATATAATTCAAAAGCTAAAAAATTAGTAAAAAAGCTGTTAGAATATGTATCAATTTATTTATTATAGCACAGATACTTTATTTATGTAGTACTATTGTTTAACCATGTAACTCATGAAATTTATGTCTTTTATTTAGCTCTTATTTATATATTATGTAATTTTACCTTAAATTACGTTAATAATTAATGAGATATTTTAATTTGAAAAAAATTGACTTTTCGAAGTAACAAATTACTGTGATCAGTGATTTTCATACATCACACCGGGAATCAGAATCTAGAATAAATGCAAGTCTGTGATTGGTTAAAATAATTTTTAGCCAATCATGTGTTGCCATTTTTCTACCAATTTATGTTTTCTAATCCAGTTTGGAACCTTTGAAATTAAATTATCCTTTAGCCAATTTTCTGTTTCAAATTCTTCATGATAGTCTGTAATCCCAGGTACAAGACGTTTATCAAATATTTTAGTTTTATCGAAATAGAAGCTGGCTGGGATTATTTTTTAATACGCAATCACTGATACATTTTTATATTCATATATTTCTTCAACATATGCTCTCTAGTTACAATAATTTAAATGACATGCTTCAAAATGAATGAATGAATGGAATAAATGAAACTTGATTCGTACTAATTTTTCAGCATTATTTAAATTGTTTCCTTCCAAATCTTCAATGATAGGAAAGCTAGAATCAATTATAGTCTCTGTAAATAAATTTTTGTAGCTCCAGCGAACCTCATTAATAATCCTTATGACCTTTGCTTCTAATAAATCCAATGTGTTTTCGGAATAATCAGAAACATTCTTAATAATTAAAGCACCACCAACTAATATTTCTTCTGCTGAAAATCCCAAACTTGTTTCGTAAATGTTATTGCTGTTTTGTTCTCTAATGCATGTAATATTTAAATTTGGAATTAAAAATTTGATATCATTTGTTAAAAGACTAGGCGCCTGGTCATGCTCGAATGAATTTTAATAAAGTTGTGAAATATTTTCGTAAAAGAGTCCCAAGTTAATTGGTTGATAAATCAAAGCCCTATGCGTTGACGAAGTCATGCTAGGGTTATTATCGCGAGGATCACCCTTTGTGGCTTGTATAGGTTAACGAATCAATTGTATTGATTATTCAAATGAATAAATCACGTAACGAAAGTTTAATACGTCAGAAAGAAAAATTTTATTAGCGGAAGTTCGTTTAACCGACCAAGGGTATTTATCATTCCAATCAACAAGAGATAGAGGCCCAGAC